GTAGGGTAGAGTGCCCCTTGCTACCATGAACAATGCCTACAGTAGAACAGAGGGCTCAATAAATGTTTATGGACCAAGAGAGACTCACTGAGAGAAGAACCAGGAAGGACACAGTCAATTTTCTGTTTCTTTACCAATACTACTATGAACTCAATCAGATCCTCACTTGAGGGAAAGGGACACAGACCTTGACTGGTTCCCCTTGAGGTCTCCTCATCCCTCTCCTATTTCCCTATCTGAGATTAAATGGTTTTGAGAGTGGGATGGGAAAAGAGAAATTTAAAAAGAGAAGAGAAGAGGAAATACGGAAAGGAAAGAAACTGAAAGAAAGATGCTGAGGCAGACAGGGAAGGCAGAGCTCCAGAGAAGCATGCACTGCTCTGAAAGGAAGGATCAGAAGGAAGGCCATCAAAACACTCAACACTGCCATCCACCCTACTGCCTTGTTCCACTGCCATCCTTACTTCAGGGACAGAGTAGGATTCATGGTGCTGAAACATCCAAGATTAGGACTGAATAGTTACATCATGACATGAAGCAGTTATGGGATGTCTGGACCTGAAGAAAACATTTCAAGCTAGACTGACACATGCCTGCCTATGCTCTTTTCCACATTTGGGAGGCCATGGCCTTAATTCCCACACCCAAAGTATGTATTATGTGTGAAGCCTCAGTTCCAGCCTTTTTATGGTATGCCTTTTTGTCAGAAGCAAAATCTCTCTCAAAAACATTTTTTTTCAGTTCTTCACATACAAATCCTCTTATCCCAAAGAGTAATTTACAATTCTATTAGAACCACATCTAAGTCCAAGAAAAATCTGGAATGTCACACAGCACCTCTACCCTTGAGGAGCTATGACCCGTCTTTCATACTGCAGTTGAAAACCTCTTTATAACAGACACCATAAAGCCTCTATGGCCCAGTGAAAGATACCTGCTTCCTTAATTCACAATATTGCTCAAATGATAAAAATTCATTTGTACCATTTAGTGTGTCTCCGTGAAACTGAGGAGCTGCTGGTTAGGATAAAGATACTGTTATAGAACAGAGAATACAAATCACTTGAAATCTATAACCAGTTTAACAACAAAGACAGCCAGAAGCCCTCTGCTACTCCGGGTGAGAGCAGGAGCAGGTAGATGGTAGAAATGCCCTCCCTGGTACCCGTGCCCAGTCACCCTGCAAGGCATGACGTAAGATGAAAGCATCTGCTGACTCTCAGAGGTATAATTACAACCAGGGTGGGGGTGTAATTAAAGTAAGGGTAATTTACCTTAAAGAAGATAAAAATTAAGGATTATTAATGATCATAATAATTAGCTCTTTTATATCTAAGAATCACAAAATGCTTTACAAGCTGCAATTATCACAGCTCCCCTCTGAGGAAGGGATTCATATCTTACAGTTCCTCATTTAACAGTGGGAGGAAGCAATGGGCATCAGGGAAGGCAGAGGGAGGTGGACTACTGTCTCCTCTGTCATCTGTCCTATAAGTGGTGAAACTAGAAAGAGGCCCCAGAAGGGCTGACTCTTATTAAGGTGAGTACCCTCATCCCCAAGTCATCACGCAAACAGATGGTCCATCCCAGAACAAGTGATTCATCTCATTCTGGCCTGTTGGTCATTTAAACTGCCACAATGCAATAAAATTATATCATATCAGCAAGCATTTTTTAAAACATCTAGTAGAAATAAAAGATATAGCACTACCTTCAAGCAACTTAAAACCTAATTGAGAACACAAAACAAGCACCCATTAAACTAGAGAAGAATATGAAAATTACACATTAACTAGTACTAGATTGTAAAATGCTGACTATGTATGCTGTGGGGGGAAATTTTTAATAGACAGATCATTGCGTGTAAAGGTCAAAGAAGGTTTTGGAGAGGAGATGGAACTTCTCTGGGGCCTAAAAGAAATTATATTAGGTTTTAGACTGACAGAGGTGAGGTCTAGGAGGTGGGTCAATGAATAAAAAGAAATGATCAGAAAACTTGAAAGATTTAACACATAATTTTTTTAAGAAGTCTTTGATGGAGAAGTGTTTGAAGTACTTTAGATTTTTTCAAAGCCATGTAGAATCACCCTACTTTGAACACTTTCCCAGAGTGTCAACATCATAGTTTATGCTGGGTTCTGGAGAAGTACATTAGGCTAAAGATGACAATAGAACCTTCTCTGCTTTATCTAAATTTTCACTCTGGAAGTTATCCAATTGAGCTAAGTCAGGGCCTGGGCCAGGTAAATGCCACAGGATGTCAAAAAGTGACAAGGCTTCATATTGATATAATATTAAAGCATCTAAGTGATACAAATTTTATTTTCTCTTTTCAATTCCTCTGTAATAAAGAACTCAGGTCTCAACGTCAAGTGCCAGGATAATACTATAGCTGTGCTCTGGACTGATAAAGAAGGGCATTCTTGCAGAAATGGAGCAGGATCACCCAGGTCATTCCTGGGCCAGTCAGTAGTATTCTCTGACCTCTCAGTGTCTCAGTCTCCAGTCTTAAAAAAGAGTGATATTGGAGCTTTTTGTATGGAGATCTTTCAGATTATAACAATATTTTTATTTTTTGATGGTCCACAGTAAAGGAACACTACTACATTCCAAGAATTCCCAGTTAGTCTTAACCAAAAATAGACTGAACCAATTTGTTAGCATTTGATATAATTTTCTACATTCTTTAGCATTTACCAACATTTTGAAAAACTAGAAAGCCATGGAAACTATTTCCCTGTCCAAACCTTATGTTACAGACTCCTTTTAAAATGATATTCTCAAATAATGACAGTGTGTAAAATAAAAGAACATTATGTAGCAATGAAGATACTTCACCAGGAGAATTTCAAACTTGATTTTGGATTTAGCATCTGAATCTACTTTACAACCTTCCTGATGATGGACCAAGAGCAGGAAGGGAGGCCAGTTCTCTTAGGGTTATGCAGGTTTTTAAATATTTTCCCTTATGCTGAACTGACTTTAAATAAAAGTGGGTAGGAGAACCATCACTGAATTTAAGATCTAGCTTCATTCAGAGAGGAGAAAGGATTTTTCTGTTATAATAAACGCAATTTGGGGTATTTTTTCAAGGCTGTTCAAAAGCATATAGTGGGGGGAATTGTCAGTCTAACTACAATTTTAGAATGGTTAATGCTACTTTTCCCTTTATTTCCATGGAACCTAACACTTTCCAGTTCCCTTTTGGGTTTATTCACTATAGGAAAGTAATGGAGTCATGCAAATGCATCCCATCACCTGAGCTGAGGTTTCCCAATAGATCACACACAAGAGGATACAAACAAAAGCAGACATAAGGCAGGCCTTGCCCAGGTTATTCCTTGAAGAACACTCATATAAAAGGCTAGTGCCCTCTGTGAGAGAGTGAGCTTCCATGATCACATGATTGCAGTGCAGTGTGATCAGTGCTTATGATGATCCTATCTTAGAATCCAAAGAGTAAGAGAGCTGCATAAAACCCTAAAAAGAAGGGGAAAAATGAGAAGTCTTCACCCTTCACCAACGAGTTGCCACGTCAAGTTTGCTAACTTAGCCCAAGAAATAGTGACAGTACTGACAGTCCTAGGAAAACCACTAAATTGTAGACTTCAGTGTTGAAGTCCTTAAGAGGCAGAAATTAGCCTTGCTTATAATTGTCTTCCCACTCCCTGTCACTTCTACCTTCCTCTGTACCCCACATCTGGGATGGCAGCAAGTGAGGGGGCAAATAGAGTTCAACTCCATTATCATTTGGACCAATCTGCAAATAAAGAAATAGCCATCAAGATTTAGATTCCAAACTTTCACTCAAGCCATTGAAGGATCCTATAATTGCCTCAAAATTCAGAAAACCAATACTTGCCTCTGTTAGACAAAGGAGACAAAAGTGCAGAGAAGCCATTGAATCATTTAATAGTCTTCATAAATTATGAACCAAAGTTTCACATAGTCTGAAATGTAAGGATGGAAGTCACTGACAACCATGGATAAAATCCAATTCCTTACAATAAAACAGCACTGAAATTTGCAAATGATCAGCCAGATTGAGAAAGCCCTGATGGATATAATGGGCTAGAATGACTGATTACCTCAATGTGCTTCCAGGAGAAGCAGACTCAAGTGTTTAGGTGTCATAACCATTAGTAACTTAGGCTGAGCAGGATGATTATATCTACAATAATGCATTACACCAGCTCTTTTTCCCCAGGGGCATCAATATGCTAACAAGAAAAACTAATGAACAAACTTCATTTAGGTTTAATGTCTCCAAGAATGAAATTTCACAGATTTCAAATTTTCTTATGAACAGTTTAATAAAAATATATTTCTAAGGTACCCTTCCAAACTGCTTACTAAGGAGGCAGTACCCAATCTGTAGGAAAACCATCATAAGATCCGGGAAACAAATGTAAAAATTTTTCCCAACTGCATTTTTAGAGAAGAAACTAACCAATTCTTTACATCTCTCTCATTGCCCTAGAACTGAAGCAACAGCTTCTGGCACGGCTTATGAGCAGCTCACCATGGACTGTCACATCCCATGGAGACAGTCATTGGTCTTCATCAGTTCATTTCAAAGTTTCTGCTTAATCCCAAACTAGAGATTGTATCTTTTACAAAGCAAATGGCTTAGAGTTTACTCCTTTGTAATGAAGTAATAATCAATTAAGATTGCGAACATTTAATACCTTTGTTTTATTATTTAACTTAGTTTTAACAATTAAAGAAAATTGGAGATTCTGCCAAATGTTCTACCCTCTCATGTTAGGTGGGGCCAGTACTGTGAATGTCAGGAGGCAAGGTCTGTGAACCTCATGCCAAATAGCTACGTGAGCAAATAGTGAGATAAACAAGCCATTTGTGGAGACAGAGGTGGAGCTGGGCTTGGTTAGGAATGAATCAGGCCATCCCACAGAGTGGGTGTCTCCTTCCCAAGTTGCTTTCCAGGGCACAATTAAAATCCCTATAAAAGGCCCAGCTCCCAGTTACCCAGTACACTTGCCCGTGGTGTCAGCGAGCACTCAACTTCTTCCTCTGGTGAAGTGGGTAAGTCCCATTCTGTGGGATCATGGTCTTCTTTATGATTCTCCATTTTTATAGCTACTTCAGATGTTGGGATATGCGGGGAGGTTCTATGTGCCAGAAGGTATCGGTATTTTGCAGGGATAAATAAACTTTCACTAACTCTATCCCATCTTCTTATGGTTGGAGCCATCACTTGAACTGAAGCATGGCCCTTCTCCCTGGGCTCTGAACTCTATACTTTTGTACATCAAGGATGATCATGTGTGGCTCTGATAGGGTTCATCTTCCTAAAAACTGCTATCTCAAAAGTTTGTTACCCTTCTATTCTCTTTTACATTGGTTCTACCTAATACAGGCCATCTTCATACAGTCACAGCATTTAAGGTATTGGAGTTGAGAAGTACATAAAGAAGTTAGCTAGATGATCCACTACACATATTCCACCAGCAAAGTCATTCTATGTATTCTTATAACATCGATCTACTGCTGGCTAATGTTTTATAAAAAGCCAAGATTCCAATGATGCATTTGGGTTTAACAAAACCAATATCATTCACAGTTTTCTGGATTCAGTTTGGTTGAGAAAGGACCTCTCAGAAGCTTTCAATACCTCAGTATCCGAATATCTGTACTAAATCTGAGTTGAGGCAGGTAACATACACTCTCTGTTTTCTGCACGTGTGTATCTGAATGTTACAATGCCATCTTTTGACTAGGAAGAATTATTATTTAATCTTTGAATTGTTGACTTATGAATTATATTCTATAACAGTTCCTAAATCCTTTATGGACTATAATGTTGGGGAATCATTCATACTCCCTTTTCATTGTTCTATCTTCTTCTAAATGTTTTGCTGACATGGCCTCTAACCACTTTAAGATACTCTCAAGTCTTCCTTCACCTTTTGGGTTTTACCTGTCCTCTTTGCTCAACTTTAAAGGAAGGTGTGTAGAAATATATAAAATTTTAATTTCTGCACTCCTCTATTTTCTACTCTGAAATATGGTGGAGAGCTGGAAGAAAGAGAGAAGAAAAGGACAGATAATCCACATTGGGTGGACAATCAAAAACTGACAACAGGATAGTCTGAAGATGATTCCCTCACTTGGAATTTCTCAGGATCACTCTTTCTCTTTCTGATACAATATTCAAAGATTAAAATGCTCTGAAAGTCCAGGTGGAAAATACTGCTGTAAATTCAAATTATTTAGGTATCTGCCTGAAATAGTGTGAATGAAGCTTTCCCAAGAGCAGAAACGGGATTTTGATTCTGGATCTTGTTTTATTGTTCTAGGTTTACTTGAACTTGAAAGAAAGAAAAAGATGTCACCACTTTTGAGAAGCATCTGTGACATCACTGAAATTTTCAATCAATATGTCTCACATGATTGTGATGGAGCAGCATTAACTAAGAAAGACCTGAAGAACCTCCTGGAAAGGGAATTTGGAGCTGTCCTTCAGGTAAGAACTAACAAGAAAATGAGATCTATTGACTTGAGGCTATGAGATTTATTCTCAGAGGAGACCAGAGCAGGGACTGGTGGCTTTATATTCATTTTACACCATGACAGATCTACACTACATCCCCCAATCATTTCTGAGTCAGAAGGTACTAACTTGGCATTGCAGTCTGAATAATAAAGTATTTCATGTACTTGACGGCATGGCCATGTGAATGAGCTCTTCATGGGACATTACCACAAAAGATGTCAAATCAAACTAGACTTGAAGGAACTTAGTTTCCAAATTTCAAAACTGAGATCAGCCTGATCTCTACTAAAATGGTGCTACCCGTAAATGTTTTGTTCTGTTTTCTAATATGGAATAGAAACCAAATCAAGAGTACTAGCTGCTTCAGATGGAAATGGCTACTGCAAATCTTCATAAATTTCCATTGTATCTCTCAAGGGTGAGTTCATTCTTACTCAATTAAAGCGAACTTGTGTTATTCTTTCTTGAGGTTGAGTAGCTTTGTTAATTTTACACACAAGTTCACGAGGCTGTTTTGAATCTTCACCTCAAGCTCTGCCTCTAAGGTGCGTAGGCTTGCCCGTCATTCTACTTTGTGTCTCTCTTCCTGCATCCTCCAGTTTGGTCAGCACTAAATTACGAGCTGCAAAAATTTCAAACGAATATATGCTTTAAAATGAGGGTTCACATTTTACATGGGGACAAGACTTGATACACACTGGACATTTTTCTGATTGCTCTGAATGTCTCTTGAATGTCAGCATAGCATAAAATATGTGTGAAAATAATTTTATCACCTGTAGATAGTACATTGTAAAATTTTTGTTTTCATCTTTTTTATAGAGACCACATGACCCCAAGACGGTAGATCTGATCCTGGAACTTCTGGATCGTGACCGTAATGGGCGTGTCGATTTCAACGAATTCCTCCTACTTATTTTCAAACTGGCTCAAGCTTGTTACTATGCTCTCGGCCAGGCCACGGGACTGGATGAGGAGAAGCGAGCCCGGTGTGACGGAAAGGAGAGCCTGTTACAAGATCGCAGGCAAGAAGAAGACCAAAGGAAATTCGAGTCCCGGGACAGACAACTGGAAGAAGAACCTGGGCAACGACGCAGGCAGAAGAGGCAGGAACAGGAGAGGGAGCTCGCTGAGGGAGAGGAGCAAAGTGAGAAACAAGAGCGACTTCAGCAGCGCGACAGGCAGCGCCGCGACCAGGGGCTATGGCGGCAAAGGGGAGAATGGAAAGAACAGGAAGAGCGCCGTGCAGAGGAAGAGCAGCTGCAGAGGTGCAAAGGTCACGAAACTGAGGCGTTTCCAGATGAAGAGCAACAACGAAGGCGGGAGCTGCAGGAGCTGAGGAGGGAGCGCCGCGAGGAGAAGCAGCAGCAAAGGCGAGAGCGGCAAGAAAGAGTGCTCCAGGAAGAAGAAGAGAAAGAGTGGAGGAAGCGCGAGAGAGTGCTCCGGCAGGAAGAGAAGCTGCAGGAAGAAGAGCCGCAGCTACAAAGAGAGCTCCAGGAGGAAGAAGAGCAGCTACAGAAGCTGGAGCGGCAAGAGCTGAAGAGGGAGCGCCAGGCGGAAGAGCAGCAGCAGCAAAGGCTGAGGCGCGAGCGGGAGGAGGAGAGGCGCGAGCAGCAACTAAGGCGCGAGCAGGAGGAGGAGAGACGCGAGCAGGAGGAGAGGCGCGAGCAGCGGCTGAAGCGCGAGCAGGAGGAGAGGCGCGAGCAGCAGGACAGGCACGAGCAGCGGCTGAAGCGCGAGGAGGAGGAGAGGCGCGTTTGGCTGAAGCGCGAGGAGGAGGAGAGGCGCGAGGAGAGGCTGAAGCGCGAGCAGGAGGAGGAGAGGCGCGAGCATTGGCTGAAGCGCGAGGAGGAGGAGAAGAGGCGCCAGCAGGAGGAGAGGCGCGAGCAGCGGCTGAAGCGCCAGGAGGAGGAAGAGAGGCGCGAGCAGGTGCTGAAGCGCGAGGAGGAGGAGAGGCTTGAGCAGGAGGAGAGGCGCGAGCAGCGGCTGAAGGCGCAAGCCCAGGAGGCAGGCAGGAGGCGCGAGCAGTGGCTGGCCGCGAGAGAGCAGAAGGGAGGCGCGAGCAGCTGCTGGAAGGCGCGAGGAGGGGAGGAGGAGAGCGCGAGCAGCTGCTGGAGCGCGGGGGAGGAGGAAGAGACTCGAGGCAGGAGAAACTGGCGCGAGCAGCTGGAAGAGAAGGCGCCAGCAGTGGCGAGGCGCGAGCAGGAAGGCTTGGCGAGCAGAGGAGGAGAGGCGCGAGCAGCCATCACAGGCCTTGAACAGGAGAGGCGCGAGCAGCCTGTAGGCGCGAGCAGAGGAAGAGGCGCGAGCGGCGGCTGGAAGCCTCAAGCAGGAGGCAGAGCAGGAGGAGAGGCGCAGGCGGTGGCAGGCCTGTGAGCAGAGGCGCGAGCAGCTGCTGGGCCTGAGGAGAGGCGCGAGCAGCTGCTGGAGCGCGAGAGGAGGAAAGAGAGACTCGAGCAGGAGGAAGCCCAGGCGCGAGCAGCCTGAAAGAAGCGCCAGCGATGAAAGCTGAGCAGCTGGAAGAGAGGCGCCAGCAGTGGCTGAGGCGCGAGCAGGAGCTGGCTGAGGAGGAGCAGGAACAGGCCCGGGAGCGGATTAAGAGCCAGATCCCGAAGTGGCAGTGGCAGCTAGAAAGCGAGGCCGACGCACGGCAAAGCAAAGTCTACTCGAGGCCCAGCAAGCAGGAAGGGCAGAGGCGCCGTCAAGAGCAGGAGGAAAAGAGGCGGCGCCGGGAGCGTGAGCTGCAATGGCAGGAGGAGGAACAGGCTCGCCGGCAGCAGCAGGAAGAGGAGCAGCGCCGGGACTTCACTTGGCAGTGGCAGGCGGAGGAAGAGCGCCAGAGGGGCCGTCAGAGGCTGTCAGCCAGGCCCTCATTGCGGGAGCAGCAGGAGAGGCAGCTGAGAGCCGAGGAGCGCCAGCAGCGGGAACAACGGTTTCTCCAGGAGGAGGAGGAGAAGGAGCAGCGGCGCCGCCAGCGTCGCGAGAGGGAGAAAGAGCTGCAGTTCCTGGAGGAAGAGGAGCAGCTCCAGCGGCGGGAGCGTGCCCAACAGCTCCAGGAGGCAGGGTACGGCCCCCAGGAGGATCAGGAGAGGAGGCAAAGCCCGGAGCAGCGCCGCGACCAAAAATGGAGGTGGCAACTAGAAGAAGAAAGGAAGAGACGCCACTACACGCTGTACGCCAAGCCAGCCCTACGAGGGCAGCTGAGAAAGGAACAGCAGCTGCAGCAGCAGGAGGAGGAGGAGCTGCAGAGAGAGGAGCGCGAGAAGAGAAGGCGCCAGGAGCAGGAGAGACAATACCGCGAGGAAGAGCAGCTACAGCAGGAGGAAGAGCAGCTGCTGAGAGAGGAACGGGAGAAAAGAAGACGCCAAGAGCGGGAAAGGCAATACCGGGAGGATGAGGACCTGCAGCAGGAGGAAGAACAGCTGCTGGGAGAGGAACGGGAGAAGAGAAGGCGCCAGGAGCGGGAGAGACAATACCGCAAAGAAGAGGAGCTGCAGCAGGTGGAGGAAGAGTAAAGCTGCTGGAGAGGAACGGGAGAAAAAGACGCCAGGAGCAGGAGAGAGAATGCAGGAACTGCAGCAGGAGGAAGAGCAGCTGCTGAGAGAGGAACGGGAGAAGAGAAGGCTCCAGGAGCGGGAGAGACAATACACCAAAGAAGAGGAGTTGCAGCAGAAGAGAAGAGCAGCTGCTGAGAGAGGAACAGGAGAAAAAAGAAACTGACGCCTGGGCCAGGAAAGGCAATATCAGGAGGAAGAGGAGCTGCATGGAGAAAGCAGCTGCTGAGAGAGAAAGGGAGAAGAGAAGGCGCCAGGAGCTGGAGAGGCAATGCCATAAGGGAAGGAGCTGCAACAGGAGGAAGGAGGCAGCTGCTGAGAGAGGCAGGAAGAGAAGCCCAGGAGGCGGGAGAGACAACCACCGCAAAGAAGAGGAGCTGCAGCAGGAAGAGAAAGAGCAGCTGCTGAGAGGAGCGGGAGAAAGAGGCGGCGTGAGGCCCAGGGAAAGACAATATCGGGAGGAAGAGGAGCTGCAGCAGGAGGAAAAGCAGCTGCTGAGAGAGAGGAGAAGGCGCCAGGCAGGAGCTGGAGAGGCAATACCGCGAGGAAGAGGAGCTGCAGCAGGAAGAAGAGCAGCTGCTGAGAGAGGAACAGGAGAAAAGGCGCCAGGAGCGGGAGAGGCGGTATCCGGAGGAGGAGGAGCTTCAGCACCAAGAGAGGAAGCGGCGATACCGGGATGAGGATCAGCGCCGTGATTTGAAATGGCAGTGGGAACCAGAAAAAGAAAATGCAGTTCGTAATAACAGGGTTTACTGCAAACGTAGAGAGAATGAACAGTTCCGGCAGTTGGAAGATTCCCAGGTGCGCGACAGACAGTCCCAGCAAGATCTGCAGCCCCTGCTGGATGAACCGCAAGAGAGAGATGGTGAGCAAGAGAGGAGGCGCTGGCAGCAGCGCGACAGGCATTTCCCAGAGGAAGAACAACTGGAGCGAGAAGAGCAAAAGGAAGCCAAAAGGCGCGACAGGAAGTTCCAAGAGGAAAAGCAGTTGCTGAGAGAGGAAAAAGAGAAGAGAGTTCGTCGGGAGAGAGACAGAAAATTCCGCGAGGAGGAACAGCTGCTCCAGGAAAGGGAAGAACAGCTGTTCCAGGAAAGGGAGGAACAGCAGCTGAGCCGCCAAGAGCGTGACAGAAAATTCCGCGAAGAGGAACTGCGCCGTCAGGAACGAGAGAGAAAATTCCTAGAGGAGGAACAGCAGCTACGCCGCCAGGAGCGCGAGCAACAGCTGCGCCAGGACCGCGACAGAAAATTCCGCCAGGAGGAACAGCTGCACCAGGAGAGGGAGGCACGGCAGCTGAGCCGCCAGGAACAAGAGAGAAAATTCCTGGAGGATGAACAGCAGCTGGGCCGCCAGGAGCGCCAACAACAGCTGAGCCAGGAGCGCTACAGAAAATTCCGTGAAGAGGAACAGCTGCTCCAGGAAAGAGAGGAACAGCAGCTGCGCCGCCAAGAGCGTGATGGAAAATTCCTGGAGGAGGAACAGCAGCTGCGCCGCCAGGAGCGCGAACAACAGCTCCGCCACGACCGCAACAGAAAATTCCGCGAAAAGGAACAGCTGCTCCAGGAAAGGGAGGAACAGCAGCTGCGCCGCCAAGAGCGTGAGGGAAAATTCCTGGAGGAGGAACAGCAGCTGCGCCGCCAGGAGCGCGAACAACAGCTCCGCCACGACCGCGACAGAAAATTCCGCGAAGAGGAACAGCTGCTCCAGGAAAGCGAACAGCAGCAGCTACGCCGCCAAGAGCGTGACAGAAAATTCCGCGAAGAGGAACAGCAGCTGCGCCATGGGAACACAGAGAAAATTCGTGAGGAAGGAACAGCTGCGCCAAGAAGCGAGAGGAAGAGCAGCTGCGCGTCCAAGGCGTTGAAAATTCCTGGAGGAAGAAACAAGCTCCAATCAGGAAAGGGAAGAACAACAGCTGCGCCAGCCGGGAAGCGCGACAGAAAATTCCGTGAGGAGGAACGAAGCTGCGCCGCCAAGGGCGTGACAGAAAATTCCTTGCTTGAACTGCAGCTGCACCCATCCAGGGCGCGAACAACAACTCCGCCAAGGGACCACTGACAAGAAAATTCCGCGAAGAAGGAACAGCTGCTGCAGGAAAGGGAAGAACAGCAGCTGCATAGCAAAGGCGTGACAGAAAATTCCGCGAAGAGGAACAGCTGCGCCAGCCAGGAACTGGAGAGAAAATTCCGTGAGGAGGAACAGCTGCGCCAAGAAACGGAGGAAGAGCATCTGCACCGCCAGAGCGACAGAAATTACTGGAGGAAGAGCTTAGCTCGTGGGGAAAGGGAAGAACAGCAGCTGCGTGAGAGCGCGACAGAAAATTCCCGTGAGGAGGAACAGAAGCTGCGCCGCAAGGCGTGACAGAAAATTCCCTTGCGCGGAACTGCAGCTACTTTGGCCAGGAGCGCGAACAACAGCTCCGCCAGGACAGCGACAGAAAATTCACGCGAAGAGGAACAGCTGCTGCAGGAGGGGAAAGGCAGCAGCTGCGCCAAGAGCGTGACAGAAAATTCCTTGAAGAGGAACAGCAGCTGCGCCGCCAGGAACTGGAGAAAATTCCGTGAGGAGGAACAGCTGCGCCAAGAAGCGGAGGAAGAGCATCTGCACCGCAAGAACGCGACAGAAAATTGCACTGGAGGAAGAGCAGCTCCGTCAGGAAAGGGAAGAACAGCAGCTGCATGTGGGAGAAGCGCGACAGAAAGAGGGAAGAACAGCAGCTGCGCCGCCAGGAGCGCGACAGAAAATTCCGCGAGGAGCAGCAGCTCCGCCAGGAGAGGGAGGAACAGCAGCTGCGCCGCCAAGAGCGTGACAGAAAATTCCGCGAGGAGGAACAGCTCCCTCAGGAGAAGGAAGAACAGCAGCTGCGCCGCCAAGATCGTGACAGAAAGTATCGCTGGGAAGAAGAGCAGCTGCAGCTTAAGAAACAGGAAGAGCAGAGGCTCAGGCAGGAGCGAGACGGGCAGTACCAGGCGGAGGAGCAGTTTGCCACGCAGGAGAAGAGTCGTCGTCAGGCACAAGAACTATGGCAGGAAGAGGAGCAGAAACGTCGCCAGGAACGGGAAAGGAAATTACGGGAAGAACACCTCCGCAGCCAGCAGGAGGAGGAACAGAGGCGCCGCCAAGTCCGGGAAACACAATCCCAAGAAGGGAAGGGCCATGGGCGGCTTCTGGAGCCCGGCAGTCATCAGTTTGCCAGCGTCCCAGTGCGCTCCAGCCCTCTCTATGAGTACATCCAAGAGCAGAGATCTCAATACCGCCCTTAAGAGATGCTGCCAATATCCTGACACCTGCCAAAGCTTCGAGCACGGGAAAATGAGAAACACTGGGTACCAAGTGATAACTCAGATGTTTCTGGTTGTGGGAAAACTATCTGATGTTAGAATGTCTTCTTCCAAAATCTTAAACTACGCTCATTTTATGTACTTTGTACTCCTGCCTTTTATTCTTCCTCAAGTAGTTCTTTACTGCAAGATGTCTTTCTTTTGCTCTTTGATGTAGATGTGGTGTGCATTTTTTAAAAAGAGTATAAATCATTTAATTTGTTTAAGAAATTTTGTTTGATGAACATGTTCATTTATTGCTTTCAGAAGCAACAAGAATAAGAAGATGATTTGAGATTCTAAACAATGGGTCTGTTTAATGATTGACCCATCTTGTGGAAAGTGCAGATACTTTTAATGTTCAAGTTGCTATTTCTTCTTGAACCTAAATTGATCATTTTCTCCAAACAGCTTTCCATCTTTTGTGGCATAATAAGCACAAATTCCAGGTAACTAAATTTTTATAACCCTTGTTGAATAATGCAGGAGGAGTGACCTCTGCATAAAAACTTCCTGTGAAATCAGCCCATTACTGGAAGAAATATCTGTTATAGATAGGTTTAGCTTTGAAGATTTAGAATTCAAATTAGATTTTTTTTACACTCAACTCCACTTAAACACATGATCTCATGAAGCAAAAATGAGGTGTTTCTCAAACAACTTCAGAGTTCAAATTTTAAAATTATGTCTGTTGTAGTCTGTAGTGTTCATTCTACTTCCCCAAGTTTTGATGAGTTTGAGAATATTACGAACCTTTGTTAATTTTAGCTTATTAGAAGGAAGCTGCTCAGAATCCCATAAACATCTGTCTTACTCTAGGGCCAATAAGAGATCACATAGAGCATGTTGGGGGTGTAAAAGGGAAAAATGTGTGAACATAGGGGCAAATTTCTAGAGGCCCTTTGACAAGACCCATCAGCCCACAATCATTTGAGACCTGTTGATAATACCTTAGAGATACTCTTGTTGAAATAATTGAACTGTGAAAAAATTAATAAATGTTTAGCAAGTAACTACTTTTGTCTGTTTTAACTCTGCGTCAATCATAACTCAAGATCTCTTGGTCTGGAAACTAACACAAGTTCCCAATCATGTAAAGGCATTTCATTACTTATCTATGTCCAAATATGAAAAAAGAGGGGAGAGAATTCTTTGTTTTTCCCTAAACCTTTTTTTTTCTTTCTTTCTTTCTTTTCAGTTAGGGTGAACTCTATTTCCATCCCCACACTGAGATTCTCTTTCAGAGTGGTTTTGTTCTTGACACCACAGCTTTCTATGCCATTTCTTGCAGCGACTCACTGGTCATGACAAATACTGGTGCTCTCAATATTTGTTAAGATTTCCTTTAGAGAATGCAGCAGCCTCTTAGTCTTTGATGTCTGATGAGCCAATGATAGAAAATGGCCTGAAACTTCAGATCAGCACTACAAAAACTGTAGATGTCCTGTTGATTTAAGCAACACAATCCATGAGGTGACTGAGTCAGAAGGTACTTAATAGTAATCAGGCTGAAGTATCAAATTATTGTCTTATTAGATAATCATTTATTAGATAATAACTAACACCCCTGTGCTGCCTGTTAGTTATTATTATTAGATAATAATAACTAACACCCCTGTGCTGCCTACTAAATATAACACCCTTATATTTAGTAGTCACAGTTGACTAACTAGAAATAAGTCCAAGAAGGCCCTGATCAAAACAATATCATTTCTAATCTTGATAGTCATGATGACAAGATGCCCTAAAGTTATAGTCACTCAACATTTTGACCAGTGGTGGAGACAAGCTAAGCTTATAGCTCCTGAGTATCATTCTGATAGAGTAAGATGGCATTTTCTTCAAGAAGCAAAGCCCCTCTCTCCCTCACTTTAACAAATGGCAGATGCCCACCAAAGACATAACCTGGGAATCCCCTGACATTGTCTTGGAATTTCATCTCTTTCAAATGATTTCTAACTGCAAAACTGTTTTTCCCCTAAAGTATACTCTTTTTCTTACTTAAGGACCTTCAAAGAAATTCTGGAAGAGCTTCACTGACTTTCCTCAGGACCCTCTATGGGTACACATTCAAGAGCCTCCTTATAAATGCCCAGCCTCAGGATACCACTGAAATATACACTTCATCAGCTAAGCTACTGTTTAACAATGATAATTATGGTAAAAATAAGCAAAGCCCTGGGGTCTTGTAGCACCTTACAAGAAGGTAAAGCCAATTTCCAAAGAGGAAAGTATTGTTTCATCACAGTTATAATTACATGTAGTTTAAAAAAAAATGTGTCAGCCAGTCCATGCCCTCTAGCTGTTATTTTAGCATGTTGGCAGGAAAACATGGAGGCCAAGCCTCCTGCTCCACCTGAATAATACACATGCATGTGCAGAACCTTGAGGCTGTTGGGCAATTGTCTACTTAATTATAAACTGGGAACTCTATTAGCATCACTTGAGCTGCTGCTGGGAAATGCAATCAAGAGTTTAATATGCAGTGATAGAAAAGCTGGTCTCTATGTGTTGTTGTGACCTCCCCCACTCCCACAGAGGTTCATGTGTTGAAGTCTTAACCCTCAGTACCTCAGAATGTAATCATATTTGAAGATATGGTATTTATAGAGGTAACTAAATTAAAATGAGTTTGTTAGTTTGGGCCCTAATCCAATATGACTGATGTCCTTATAAGAAGATGAAATTTGGACACAAACATGGACAGAGGGAAGATGATGTGAAGATACAGGGAGAAGATGGCCATCAACAAGCTAATGAGATAATCCTAGAACAGATCCTTCCCTCATGGCCCTCTGAAGAAACCAGCTCAGGCAACATCTTGATCTTGGACTTCTAGATCCCAGAACTGTAAGAAAATAAATTTCTGTTGTTCAATCCACCTAGTCTATGGTACTTTGCTATAACAGCCCTAACAAACTAATACAATATGTATCAGTAAGGTGGCATTATGTTGCTAGGTAAGCCTATCTGTATCATGATGGTCATTATCATTTGACATTGTGCAAGCAGGTTCTGATTGCTCAAATAAAAATCATTTTCCCATTAAATCTGCCATAATTTATATGGTAGAGTAGAAAGGATGCTACAAGGAATCAAAAGCCTTGGGTTTATTCATTTATTCACTCAATAAGTGTTTATTGAGCTCCTGCTATGTGCCAGGCATTGTTCCAGGCAATATACATACAGTGGCTTGTTTCTTCACTTTACTATCTGTATGTCTTTGTCCAAGACACTTAAGGTTTCTGGGTCTTCATTATTTTGTATTTAAAACTATGAGGCTGGACTAGCTATCACCGAGGTTATTCTCAGGACTGAAAATAAAATTATTTTAATATCAACATTCAGTTTGTTCAATGGGAACTCTCAAAGAAATTCAAATAATGCCCAACATCAACTTCTACCTTTAGCTAACACACACACAAAAAAAAAGAGGGGGCGGGAATTGACTGATGAAAGTGATTATCAGAGCCTAGTTCCGGCTTCAAAGATCTTCCCTTTCTGCCCAATCACCTCTGAACTTCCCTCCATTTGTCTCCCAAACTCCTTCCCTGAGCCCCCTCCTATCATCCCACATTTATTCACTGAGGGAAAACACCCTAAACCTACCCCATTTTCTCTGACCCTGATACTACCAAAGATTATTGTCCCTCTCTTTATGAACTTGACAAATACATTTAATTATTCTCTTTCTTTTCTGAAGAGAAAACTAAACTGAGTTCTAGAATTTGGTCCCACTCAAACTAAAATTCAGTAGTCAATAGTTAAGTACTGTAAGTACCCATCTCTGCTCCATCTTCTGCACTAATTGCACATTGCTAATATTTGCATTAAGTCATGGTAATTATAAGATTTTCAGCAAGTATACCCTGTCAAAGATTATAATCTATGCAATATGTAATAAGCACTTTTCCCTTGTTAGTAAACAGCTGACAGTCACATGCAATAATCTGAAACTAACCCAAAAGATAGATTTTTGGGCAGGTTATTATTTTCTGAACACTAAAACATCCATGACAAGAATTCAAATAACAGAAGATTTTAAAAATCTGATTTGTCACCACTCTTCTTTAAAAAAAAAAAAAAAAAATAAAAAAAAAAAATTGTGTGGCAATTTCTGCAAGATGAAATCCAAGATTTTCAGTTTGGAATTTAAGGCCCTCCACAATTTAGTGTCAATCCACCTTTTAAACTGTGGCTCCCATGATAATTTCTGCAGTCAAGCATGTGTTCAAACCAGACTAGTCTATTTGTTGTCATTATGATGTCTTATGATTGTCTTTACTTCAAAGACGTATTGGCACACTTTTATCTGTTTGGAGTGCTTCTCTCCTTCATGGCTATCTGGACAATTTCTATGCAGTTTATAAGACCTAGGCCGAGTCCCGCCTCCTCCCTAAGATATTTCCCTAGTCACGCTGACACACAATGATCTCTCTCTTCATTGAGATTCTAAGACAAACATCTATTATCTTCACTACTCATTAAATGGCTACAATATTTTGCCTTAGTTCGCTTTATACTTTTTTTATTTCAATAGGTTTTTGGGGAACAGTTGGTGTTACTAGACAGAGTTTTGCTCTTGTTGCCCAGGCTAGAGTGCAATGGCATGATCTCGGTTCACTGTAACCTCCGCCTCCCAGGTTCAAGTGATTCTCCTGTCTCAGCCTCCCTAGTAGCTGAGATTACAGGCACCCACCATGCCCAGCTAATTTTTGTATTTTTAGTAGAGATGGGGTTTCATCATATTGGTCAGTTTGGTTTCAAACTCCTGACCTCAGGTGATCCGCCCGCCTCGGCCTCCCAATGTGCTGGGATTACAAGCATGAGCCACCACGCCCGGCCAAAGCTTTCTTAACTTCAGGCTAAAATATGACTCAAGGACTCATGAAAATTAGATGTACAATGCAGACATTCAATAGATACATGTTAAATGAGTGAAATCATATATACTTTATAGCTTTTTTCTGTTGAAGGTCTCTATTGCCTATCTGTGAAATATGTATCCCTCCCTTCTGAATATTGAAGCCCTAAGTCCTTTCTTGTATCTTGAAAATTCCTCAACCTTGGGCATTACTGAGGCATTATTTCTTCTCCATCTATTTTAAGTTCTACCTGGGAATTGAAGTGAACGCTGGTCTTAGCATCTGTCAGTGCCCCTTAGTGAGATGAGAATGCAGGCGTAGGTGGAGGGAAAGATGAGTTATTGTCCCATGTATTGTTGGGGTGCGGGTGTAGTAAGAAAGAGAAGTGAGATTTTAACTCCAGGTTGTGGCTGGTTTTCTCATGCACTTGAGTTCAAATGCAATTCATTACTATAAGGATTATTTTCCTTTTGAAAGCCTCCTTTTCTGGTATATATGCATCCATTTTATTCCTCCTATTAACATTACTTTGACCTATTTCTTATGAAATAATAACCTTGATCTTATGCTAAGAGTACCTTTGCCTCCCTTTTTCCCTGGAGCACCTTACAAAATGTCTTCACATTTGTTTTTGTTTTTGTTTTTTCTTTTTTTACAGGGTCTCACTTTGTTGCCCAGGCTGGAGTGCAGTGGCATGATCTCAACTCACTGCAACCTCTGCCTCCCGATTTCAACAGATTCTTGTGCCTCAGCTTCCCAAGTAGCTGGGATTACACCTGGCTAATTTTTGTATTTTTAGTAGAGACAGATTTTGCCGTATTAGCTAGGCTGGTCTCAAACTCCCGGCCTCAAGTGATATGCCCACCTCGGCCTCCCAAAGTGTTGGGATTACAGGCATGAGAGACTGCATCCGGCCACATTAGCTCTATTATGTGGACCATGACCAAGTCAATCCCCAGGTTTCATCCCTGACCATATGTAAAGAGGAGATGAGTAGAAGTAGGCTAGTGAGACAAATTTCACACCATCTTGCTACGAACACAACGGTCAGAGAAGCCCAGAGTTAATAACAACAGAAATACCTAACTCAGTTTAGCAGGGTCAACAAAGGCTTCCCTAAGGTAACTGGTGTTAAAGCTGAAACCTGA